ATGCTAGAAAAGATGTGTGAGAATTTAGATTTAGTAATGTGTGCTCACACAACTAAGATCTTTCTCAGAATGCCCTAGAACAACTTGACTTAATAGCCCTGTTACTTGTGGGCATACCAAATTTTTTATTTAAAAAAAAAATCATGGAAGTAATACATGTTGAAACAAAATTCAAGCAGTGTAGAAGTATCTTGTGAAAAGTACATCTCTTATAACCCTTCCTCAACCTCCTCCCACTTTTAGGAATTTGGTAGCTGTCTTATAGACTGTTTTCTATAGAAAACCTTTCAGATTGAGTTATTTGTGTCCTCATCCCCCTTTATATCCTGTTTTTAACACCATAAATTTAAAGTCGAGACATTATTATATAAATCATGTTAATGTTTACCAGGGACTTACCTGGAAAATGAAATTTTAATTTTTTTCCCTTAAAGAGTTAATAAATTTTGTTTCTGCTAAGCTATTTCAAGTTGTAATAATTTAAACCAGGGAAGCTTGAGTTCTAGAACCTGGGCTTCTTGGCTGTCTCCTGGTTTTGCTTTTTAGTTGATTAGTACTCATTGTCTGCTTGTTATTGTCATCTGTGGCCTCAAGAGTCAAGAGACATGAGAGAAGGACCTCTATGTAGGCCTTGGTGTCTTTTGAATGAGTCATAGATACACTAGCCCTTATTCCCTTCAGTTTTTTCCTAAAACCCTTTCATCCTAGGACTGAAAGCACGAATAACATTTTTTAAATTAATAAAATTAGCATGAAAAATGTGACCATTGTAAATTATTGGGGTATTTTCAGTTCATTTCAATCAGTGTGGTATGTCTGAAAGAATACAGTAATACCTTGGTTTGTGAGCATAATTCGTTCTGGAAACAAACTGCTCGTATTGCAAGACATTGTTCGTTTACCATGTTAAATGTATTAAAAATGTTTGTCTTGCGGAACACTCGCAAACCAAGTTACTCGCAATCCAAGGTTTACTGTATAGGTAAGAGTTCTTTAGCATTTCCCCCACTCTTTCATTTGGCTGTTATTAAACATTCTTGTAATAGGAAATGGAAAGGAGAAGGATGCCAATGAATGTACATAGCCCCTTCAGGATCCCCCCCCTTCTATTCCCTTTTACAAACGGGAGAGGGACAGTTGAAATAGGGGGCCGTTTGTCTAGACTGGAGAGGCAGCAGTTACATGGATAATAGCTTATTTGGGGGTAGGGGAGAGAATAAGTTTAGCAACTTTCAAAATAGTCCTCCTGTGTTACATCTTTTGTTGTCTTTCTTGATGATTCTGATATATTAGCACCCAGAAGGTACATGTTGATTTCATATTAAGGAGATTTTCCCCTGTTGGTCTTTTCACTTTGTATTTAAGGTATTTGTGTGTGTGTGTGTGTGTGTGTGTGTGTGTGTATCCAGTTTAATCATAATAAAAAGGAGAATCTGATGACTTATAGGTAGTTCCTTCTGGATCATTCCTTATATACTATCACTTATAGTCCACAAAACAAAAACTGTGGGAATGGGGTTAACCATTTTGTTAGGTTGGAAATGTAATTTTCAAAATGGGTTTAATGTTGACTCAGTCAAAGCTAAAACTGGATGTGTACCAAATAAACATTCAATCTTGTTTATTTTCCTTATTCTTTAGTAATATCGCATTTCCATATCTTCTGATTTAAGCTTCTGTAAAGTTGGAGGTCCTACTTCTATGTATGTAACACTTTTTTAGAAATTGTGAATATAGAATTACAAAAAATTAAGTAATTCCTTGGATTTTAATTAGCATAAGCAGATCTGTAACTGTTTAGGAACTGGGTGATTAGGTAACCTGTTTCTTTTATTTAAAAAGTAATAAAGAAGCTTTTGCCGTTTAATCTTGTTTTTATTCTTTGTGATCTTTGATTCTATGATATAGAAGTTAATTGATGTCTATTTTCAGATCATGTTCATGCATTGGCCATGACCAGATAACCAAATTATTGTTTTAGATACATTATAACATGAAGGAATGGTTTGTGAATTTTGTTGATCTTTTTTTAAGTTATTTGTTTTTGGTTAGTGCAATCATAGTTAAGCACCTTTGATTACCTTAATAGATGAGAAATAACTAGATTCTCTTCAAATCTTTTTAGCTCCCTCATTTGCTTATATTTTTCATCTTCCTTTAATTTGCTGCTTCCTACCCCTTATTTAAGAAATAAAACCAATCAATATAGCACATTCTTATCTATATGGAAATTATCCGCATTGTATTTTTTCTTGGCCAATTTTGTATTGACATTACGTATGTAGGAGGCTTTCCTCGTTTGTGGAATGAGATTCAGTTTTTCTGAGTTTGCTTTGTGAAGCCATGACACTGTCAAAGGGAGGACTCTTTTTTAAAATTTTATTTATTTTTTTACAGGTTCTCCTAGAGTCATTTTCAAAATCAGGAAGTGCAGTTGGTAGAAAATAGATGCTACAGTGTTAATATGTATTTTATTTACTGGCCAATTAGGTAAAAAGAAGTAAAGGGCAGAGGAAGGAAGAAACACTGGAAGCCTTACTAACATTTTATAGGCACTCAAATATTATTTGCTGTTGAAGATGATAGCCAAAGAGTAATTCTGTCTCCAGGAAGTAGAAAAGAGAATAGGTTGGTGAGAGAGCGAGCAAGAGAGATGCAGGTTGTGATAGATTGTAGCAGGAAGAGTTTCTAGAAGAAGAACAAACTTATTTGTAATTCTGTTGCGAGCCTTGAGGTCACTTGGTACTTGTGATAACATCTTAGTTGGTACTATGTATTTGTTATGCCATAAACCTGAGTTTTCCCTATTCAGGGTACACTGTATATATTTTTTAATTTGCTTCTCCCCTTTTATATCTTTGGTCCTCAGATTTATTATATCTAATATTCATGGATGTGAGTATGTTTCAGAGAATATTGAAGGTCCTTAAAACGTTTCTAGATCTTGAGCAGTATGTTGTAAATTAATTTGTTTAGAAATGAAAAAAATTGTTTCAATTAAGATACCATACTTACTCCCATAGTTAATTTTTATTGAAAGATAACATAAATATCCAAAGTTACGTAGCTAGTGAACAGGATAGGACCAAAATTTGTACCCCAATCAACTGTCTCCTGAACCTGTGCTCCTAATCACATTTGGTTACGTTGGAGTCACTTTCCTAGAGGAACAAGATTTGAATGTCAAGCCAGGTTCTTGGTTTTTTGTACTAGAAAGCAACAATAGCTCTTACAGATATACACTTTTAGTTTTTGAGACGCAGGTAGCTCATGAGACATCGGGAGATTGCAAAATGAATACCTTTTGGCATGTTGAGGTTGTGACAATGTCTTTATATAGATTTTATGTTTTTATTAGTTTGAAAAATGCTTAGCACAGACTGAAAACTGAGGTTTTCAGATGTTGATATGTCATAGCAAATTGAAGTATCTTTCCTGAAGTGCATTACCAATAAAATTGAAGCAAGCGGTCTATATTGTAAAATATTTTATGTCTTCTATGATTTATAGTGTAATAATTTTTCACAATTTTCTACCAACTTAACAGTTTTCCCAAAATTAAAGACTTTCTTTTCTGATTGCAAATGATATGCATTATTATAAAAACAAACAAACAAAAAGCAAGCATTAAACATGTTTAACAGTATAAAAAAGTCAAAAATCATCTGAAATCCTTCCAGTTAGAAAGTAACCACTGGTTAACATTGTGGTAGACACAGACACCTGGAGATACAAATTCTTTGTTACCTTTGTGTGTGAAAAATATCTTCTGGTTAATGATTGGCTTTTTTTTAATGGTTACTTTTAATGAACAGAAATTATTGATTTTAATATTAAATATGGTAGGAATTCAGTTTCATTCCCTATACTCTAAATATGGAACATTAGTTTTACAAGCACCATGTATTTTTTTATTTTTATTTTTTTAAATTAGGGAATGGTGTGCTTTTCCAGGACCCATCAACTCCAAGCCAAGTAGTAGTTTTAATCTAGTGATAGAAGGCACAGCTCAGTGGCCCATACGGGGATTGAACTGGCAACCTTGGTGTATGAGCACTGTGCTCTAACCAACTGAGCTAACCGGCCGCCCCAGCACTGTGTATTTTAAAATTCAAATTTTCCCTCACTTTTGGTCTGTTCTGTACAAATTTAGAACCAGTTTATTAAAGTGCTCTCCCAAATGCGTGGTATATTTTTGGAATTGCATTGCACTATTACATCAATTTTAGGGAGAATTGATATCTTTATGATACTGAGTTTTTAAAATCACTGAATATGGCATAACTTCCCTTTTATTTGTCTTACGTCTTCCAATAAAATTTCATACTTTTCATGAAGGTTCGCATATCTTTTGTTAGACCTATGACTTAGAACAGAGTTCATCAAACTATGGCCCATGGGCCAAATCTGAGTGCCTCCTGTTTTTGTAATGTCTATGAGCTCTGAGAATGCTAGCTAAGAATTTTATAAATGGTAGGAAAAAAATCAAAAAAAGAATAATATTTAATGACGTGGAAATTATATGAAACTGAAATTTTAGTGTCCATAAATAAAATTCTGTTGGCGCATTATGTTCATTCAGTTAAGTATATGTCTACTTTTGCACTACAAGTGGCAGAGTTCATTGTTTCAAGAGATGGTAATGGCCTGCAAATCCTAAAATATTTTACTGTCTGGTCCTTTATAGAAGAAGTTTATCAACCCCTGACTTAGAATTATTATTTGTTTATGTATCACGGTGTCTTTGTGTGTTTGGGTGGAGGTGGTGTTTCAGCCTCCCTTTCTTTACCTGTATTTCCAATTCTGATAAGACAAACGAATGAGTCACTGTTAGCAAATGTGTTGCATTCTTTAGATTTGTGTGGGCAGAGAAGAAGGTTGAAAACTATTGATATCATGTTTTATATAATAATCACTGTACCTGTGTTTTGATATTTTGCATTTCAGAATTTACTAAAGTATAACTTAATTTGCTTATTAACTGATTTTCTGTTTTGTAGGAAATTAAGAGAGAGACAGAATCCAAGGATGACAATTTGCCCATCAGACGGGAAAGGCATGGGAATGTAGCAAGTCTTGTACAACGAATAAGCACCTATGGACTTCCAGCTGGAGGAATCCAGCCACATCCACAAGCTAAAAACATTAAGAAGAGTATGTAAATAACTAATTTCCTGTTTAATTAAGTCAAGATGGAAGTGTGTCTTGTAGCTGTTCATAAATTATATTAAGAAAAATTAGCTCTACCTTTTGCAGCAGACTGCAGAAACTTACTACTTATTCTTATGTTACCTGTTACTGGCCCATGTAGCCATTCTTCATGTGATAATCAGCATGAGCTGCTGACAACTATCTGTGGGGATTCTAAATTAAAATATGAGGTATTTTCTTCTTCTTAGTGTTATAGGCTCTGCCGAATAGTTAACACTTTACCTTAAATTCATTTTAATATTACTTATTTAATGAGATGCTTAAATGTCTGCTCATCCTTAAGCACTATAGACACAAGAATTTTGATAGTACATTTCTTTAGTGGTTAGACATTTGAACCTATGTATTCAATTTTCCAACATAATTGGTCCAAGAGGGTGCCTTTTAAGTATTGGGTACTCTGTAGGTATGTGAGGAGAATAGTTTGGCAGAGAGGGAGAGCATCATTCTTGAAATCACACATGAGTTAGTCTGTCTTATTGTCTTAGATCATTTAAACTCTTGAGTTTTATTTTGCTGGGATGAGAAAGTGGTAAAATAGACAGGTAATATTGCTGTCCGCAAAAGAACTTATCATCGTGGGAAAGACATAAAAAAGTATTAAACATTGAACATGTACAGAGAAGTACAGATAGATACATGGGAGCAGATAGCATTTTAACACAGTAAAACCTGAAGCTCCTTGAGAGATTGAATACTGATTCCTGTGTTCAATTTGATTTAATAAGTGTAAATGACTGTTTAACCATATTTATCTTAGTTCAGTGTCTTTGATATTGTGGTCTTTAAATCCCTTGTGGTACCTCGTACTCTACAGTAAAGACATTTCGTTTACATACGTTTCACAAATGTAAGGAAAATGTGTGGATTTTATAATCTTCTTGTATTTCAACCTGTAAACTTTCTATGCTACTGTCTGAAGTTTGGAGAAATGTCTACTTTCTAGGTTACATAAACCCTTTGTTTATTTTCATAAAATAAGACCAGATTTTCATAAAAATGAAATGGATTTCATGACACGGAGACAGGCCGATTAAAGGGTTGTATGTGTTCTTTATTTCCTAGTAAGTGCAACATACAAACAATCTTCAGGTATTACCCACACTGCTTTCAGCCCACTGGCTGAAGGTGGACAGGTTTAGTAGTTCTAATTGTCCTGGAATCTGAAATTCTACTTATTTAGAGATGGGGAAATAGATAACAGAGAGTATGTCCACATCCTATAGGTCAGGTGAAGCTCTATATAGAATTTTTGAACACAAGAAATTTTAGGCCCTTGGAAGGGCTATTTATAACTCCTGTATATTGTAAAATCCATTTACCACTTTTTTTTTTTTTTTTAGCTTCTCTGACATATAGAGAGATAAGCTTCTTCTTAAGTAAAGGCTAGACCAAGGGCTTCAAGGTTGTTAATATTTTAGCCTCCTTATAGGAAAGGACATGCTAAATTTTACCTTCCTCAAGAACACGTGTCATAATTCCTTTTCTTGTAAGAAAGAAAAACCATTACGTAGTTGGTGCCAAGAGACTTGCTTTTTTTCCTAAGGATCTTCTAAGGATCTTGTTTTTAAGGGCATGTGCTGCAAGGACTAAATTTGTCGTTTGTTGCTAGCTAACATTTAAAACAGGGTGCAGGTTGTTTTTGCTTTCATGTTGCTTTTCCAGGAAAAACAAGCCTATGTTTTTTTTAAATGTGATTTTTTTTGTGTGTGTGTTACTGTTAGTTTGCATCATATCCTTAATTCACAAAATAGACCAGTTCTTCAAAACTGGTTCATTGTAATATTAAATAGTAGTGAACACTACTAACCAATACTGTTAATAAAGTATTTTAAAATACCGTACCTTAAAACCATTATAAAGGTTAATAATGATAAACATTGCAGAGTGAATATTCAATTTAAATCTCTGTCTGCCAAGACAAGTGAATCTGTATATGTTGAATTTTGTTAAGCAACTAAAAAGGACAAGTTCAATAGATAGTATGATGTTAACTATCTGGAAACTGTACTTGTTAGCTATTGTTCTCTAGTCTCCAAAGCCAAAAAAGTGTTGGCTTTTTTGTGAAGTCTAGTCATAAAGCCATTGCATGTTAAGTTAAAACATGATAACTTCTTTGGTAAAACAAACATATATTTTCTAGAGCAAGCACAGAATAATTTCGGTTACACAGGACAAAGTTGACTACTATAAGTTGCTAAAGTTATAGAAGAGAACAAATTTACACTTCTCATAGCAAAAATAAGTACAAGTCTCACGTTACTGCTAAGACTCTTGTAAAATCAGGCACAAAGATAATGGTGTAGAGTACTTAAAGAGTCAAGAGTTGACATCTTTCACCATCACAACTCTATAATAACGTTCAGTGTGGAATATTAGTAGATATTTAACTTTATGTTTGAAAAAAATGGATTCCAGATGTGAATCTACTCTTGGCATGTGTGAGGAGACATCAGTGCTTGTAACTGTATTATTAGTGGAAACTAATGCTGCAGAAGTGATTTTTCATCTAGTTAATAATTATTTTGAATGTAAAAAGTACATTGACGTTGATGCTGATAGATCACTAGTAGGTGTACCCAAAGAGATGATACTGTTAAAGGAAAAATTAGTTGACTAGAACGCCAATCGACACAGTGTATCATTCCTAGAAAACAGTTGGTAGCAAATACTATGTATTCTAATTGAGTTAGCAGTGAACAAAATAATGAAAATTCTGAATAGCATCAAAACATGGTCACTGACAATACATCTTTATAGCTCACATTAAACAAAAAGGCACATTAGTTCAGGCTCTACTCTTTGACATTAAAATATTCTGACTCATAAAAGGAAAAAGACTCATTCAAATGACTCCTCCCCAGTACAGCCTCTCGAATGAGGTAGGGTGTTCTAACTTTCTATTTTATTTTGAAAATTTCAAAATCTTACAGAAAAGTTGAAAGAATAATTGTGCAGTGAATATGGTATACCCTTCACCTAAGTTTGCTGTTAACATTTTGTCACATTGACTATCTCTATATCTATATACATATATTGTACAAAATACGTTTTTTCAACTGAGTCAATTGAAAGTACATTGTAGACATGAAAATGCATTTCTAATCATATGATTTTTTTCTTCATGATAGTGATAATGATATTTTCTAATGTTTTGATTGTCTTAAACAAGTGGCATGTCTCAGCAATATAGCTGAAACCTTGAGCAGCTTGAATCTTTCATTTAATAACCTAAGTATTATGATATTTTTATTGCTGAGGGTAAGAAATAATACTTAAAAAAGATTCAGCCATATAGCGAATGGCTCAATCACTGTTTCTTAATATTTGATGATTTTCTTTGTTTACTGGAGGAAGAAATGGATAAAATTTATTTTTGAGAATAGAAAAATTTAAATGCTGCAGTAAAACCTGAAGTTATACTTTCCAGAACCAAATGGAACCAAAAGTGGATCAGGAATCCTTTTGTTGCTATCTCTGAAAATTTAGCACTCAGTATCTCAGCTTCTGAGTGTAGTATGCTCTTCATTTTACTTTTGATGGAAAGATTTTGATGGAAAGATTGAAAACAGTAATCTTTAGTGAGAAATGGTTCCATAGGGGCCGGCCGAGTGGCTCAGTTGGTTAAGAGCTCGCTCAAGAGTTTGAGCTCTGAGCAACAGCGGTTTGAGTCCAGCCCGAGCTGAGCAGCCGCTGAGCTGCCAACAGGTAGCAGGATAGCTCAGCTAAAAAAAAAAAAAAAGA